AACTGACTCTCAACCCTGTCGAGAGACTGTAAATTGCAAACTCGTCGTGACGTTCTTTAGGTTATAGCAGCATCACCTGCTCAAAATCGTCTACGATTTTGAGAAGGACGTGAGTGGACGGTGCTAACTGGTCACTAATTTGTGAATTAATAGTAGTAACCTGCAGCCCACTCCTGTTTGCATAATTGGGTCTGTCTCACTGGAACATTCTCTCCTTATTTATCCATTGCCCTAAGGTGGTTTTTATGCCCTCAAATCACCCCTTAACAAACTTGGCTTGAAGAAATCTAATAAATTTGGGTAATCTTGATGTAAATAAATTTAAAATTCCATTAATCTTTACTTTGTATTTTCACAAACTGAGCCTAAAGCAAAAGGAATTCTTTTCTGGGGGTGGAAATTTGAGCACCAGCAACCCTGGTAGAAGTATTCTTTGAGAGTAGGGGACAGCCTTTATCTAGCATTAAAACTGTATCACCTGATTGCTGCCTCTCAAGACTGATCTTGGACTATGGAAATAATCATGCTGATATTGATAGGTAACATTAAGCCCTTGCCTTATTGCCCTCACGGCTTTAAGTGCTGCTTGAGATTTTTCTGTCAGTGGAACAGGTGAAGCTGTTTGGAAAACTCTTTAGACAATTCCTATGCCATTTTCTTTTCTCTGAAGCTGGCTTTGGATGTTAGAAGGAAGTTATTGATATATACACATAATGGATAGCCAAAAGTCCAATAACAGCTTTACTAGAATTCTTATCCTCTCCTCAACAGTCTGCAAAGTCTGAATGACATGTGGCCTCTACTTGGAATGAATATAAAAGAATATTGTAAATCAAATCTGAATATTCCCATGAGCTTTTTAGGGGAAATTATACCTTAACTGGTCATTCTGCTAGTAGGGCCCACATTTAATGCAGCCCCTTGTTCGATGCGTGTTTTCTGTGAGTGTGCTGGGCATACTGAAGTCAATTGGCTTAAGGCAATTTGTTTCAGCTTGCTGCCTCCAAACCTGGAAGTCCCTAGTTCCAGCTTTTTTTCATAACATTGCTTTGACATTTTGCTTTTAATTTTTAAGATTTCTAATAGGGAAAAAAAAAAAAAAGTCCTGAAAGAGAACCCAAATACTTAGTGTCAAGCATTTCTGCCAGGGCCACTGGTACTTAGTCTATTCTTCAATAGAGCTGCTCCTGACTCAGCTTACTATTTATGAGAAGTTTGATGTAAAAATCATCTTTCGGGCAAACAGAAAAATAATTAAATACCCAAGTTAGTGCCTTTGGAGTAGGTTTATAGTTCCTGAAAAGGTGGGTTAATTTTATTTTTAAATTAAAGTTCAAAAATAAAAACATTTGAGTATTGTTGAGACTTGGATCTCGTGACAATAGGAGGTGGTGTAGTTTAGGCTTTGGCGTCAGAGACTTAAGTACAAATTCTGGCTTTGTGACTTGTTCTTGCTACCTTGGAGTAAGTTCTTATTTAGTCTAAGCATCCTCATCTCCAAAAATGAGAATAATTATGGTATTTACCTTATATAGAATGTTATCAAGGTAATGTGTGAAAGCACACAATGCCTGAAACAAAAACATATTTTTAAAAATGTTAGCTATTATTATTGTTGAATATATATAACATTGTTGAATAAATGTGTTATATATGATTCAGGTATGGAATTCTGTAAATAGTCCTTCTCTTTTGAACTTCAGTAAGTTGGTAAAAGAACATAAGGATAGAGCCAGCATTGAGATACCTGTTCCTTCTTTCTCTAACCTCTTTGATGTGAATAAAGAACATGTTTTCTCGAAAGTTAATGGGGATTTCACTTAGCAACAAGGCACAGCTGTAGGCCTCTGAGTCTTACTATGGGCAGGCAGAGTAAGGAATTCCCTTTCCTTAGTATACCAGAGACTTCTGAGGATTTGCCAACACTTAAAAGCAGCTCAGATTTGAACAAAATCTTCCTTTCCTTTCCCTTCCTCTCTCTTTCTTCCTCTCTCTTTCTCTCTCTCTCTTTCCTCTCTTTTCTCCCTTTCTCCCTTTCCCTTCCCCTTCTTTCACCTCCTTTCACTGTCCCCTATCATTAAAAGCTTAATGACAAAGTTTTTACCTTCATTTTGGGGAAGGTGGAAAAGATCAACAATTGAAGCTTGAATTTAATTGATGGAAATCATTTAGTCTGTTCACTCACCAAGTATCAGAGTGTCTTTTATATGTCTGTGTTTTTGCTATGGTCCATGAGAAATGTGAAAGAAGTTCTTTTTCTCTGAAAATGTAAAATCTGATTGGGAGATAAACATTACATAAGACACGGTAACATAGGTCTAAATTCAAAGATGAGGCTCATACACGAGAAGGGAAAGGATCATTGTGGAACAGAGTACTTGGAATGTATTACAAAGGGGGAGATGGGGCTTGGGCAGAGACAAGATGGATAGGCATGGTTTGGATTAAAGAAGGGACAGTGTACGTGGAAGTTTTGTAGTGGCTATAAATGTGGTGTGTTAGGGTGGTGAGAGGTACCCTTTTCTAGATGTGTTTATGTAGAGGCAAGCTCCTGCTATTTGACTTCCTGTTCTACCCGTTGTCTAGCTCTTCTTGTATTTTCCTTTATTGTGTAAATTTGTAGATTTTTAAATTAATTAGCTTACTTAATTAACTAAACATGCCTATAGCTGAAATGATACAACCTTGAGAGATAAACTAAGGTAATATTTCCATTTTATTCTGAAAGCTTATTACTATAGAATGAGGTAAACTCACTGGGAAAAATAATATGTAGTAATCACCTGTTTTCCTTGGTTCCTTGGTTTGTTGTACTATTTCAGTGATTTTTGTTGTTTTCTCTTATTGAGAAGTCAGCTTATCAATTATAAAAGCAGTGAGAATATTGTGTATTTCTAGACTTTGTATGTTAGCTATCAAGTGTACATCCTCTCACAGAAATAATCCTACAGTGATGATAATACTATGTATTTATTTGAGATAGATTCTCACTCTGTGAGCCAGGCTGGAGGGCAGTGGTGTGATCTCTGCTCACTATAACCTCCATCTCCCAGGTTCAAACTATTCTCCTGCCTTAGCTTCCCAAGTAGCTAAGATTACAGGCGCCCACCACCATGCCCAGCTAATTTTTGTGTTTTTAGTAGAGAGGGGATTTCACCATGTTGGCCAGCTGGTCTAGAACTCCTAAATTCAAGTGATCCACCCACCTTGGCTTCCCAAAGTGCTGGGATTAGAGGCCTGAGCCACCACCCTGAACCAATACTGACTTTAAGCATTTAAGTGGAAGGAAGACTGAAGTGGAACTTGATTGAGTGCCTACTTTGTGCTAGGCATTCTAAAAAGCCCTTCCTGACCTGGCGTAAGTCTATTGCCTCATCTCCCATCACTCCTTGCATGAACCCAGCAACTAAACATAGTCCGATAGAGGTGCTTACCATCTGGCCAAAATGCATGCCAGATATATACAGCTAAGAAATACTCATAAAAGGTACAGTCCCCAAAGCGTGAGTGTTCCTCCTAGTCAACCAAATTCCTTATGCTTATATGGCTACACAGGTGCTGGTCTTTGCCCTGAGCATTCCCTTCCTCTCTTCCCCTTGTTTTCTGGATTAGGCCGTGGTCTTTTTTCAAGACTCAGGTAAAACATCATCTTCTTTCACAACCCGTCTCCCAAGCTGGATTAGTCCCAAAGTACTGGGGTGTGCCAGTGTCATAGGTATATTACAACTCTTGGCCTTTCTACTTTCCTTAAGGACAAGTTTTGTCTCTTTCATGTTCATGTACTGTATCCCGAGCTTGGCACAGAATATGTAGTTAGTAAATATTTGATGCTATAGTTCTATAGCCAAATTGTCTAATGTGGGGAGAGGGATTTCTCCTGTTAAAATATCACTGCTAGGTCCCATTGCAGATCTAGTGAGTCAAAATCT